TGTATAAACTGTATAAACTGTATAAACTGTATAAACTGTATAAACTGTATAAACTGTATAAACTGTATAAACTGTATAAACTGTATAAACTGTATAAACTGTATAAACTGTATAAACTGTATAAACTGTATAAACTGTATAAACTGTATAAACTGTATAAACTGTATAAACTGTATAAACTGTATAAACTGTATAAACTGTATAAACTGTATAAACTGTATAAACTGTATAAACTGTATAAACTGTATAAACTGTATAAACTGTATAAACTGTATAAACTGTATAAACTGTATAAACTGTATAAACTGTATAAACTGTATAAACTGTATAAACTGTATAAACTGTATAAACTGTATAAACTGTATAAACTGTATAAACTGTATAAACTGTATAAACTGTATAAACTGTATAAACTGTATAAACTGTATAAACTGTATAAACTGTATAAACTGTATAAACTGTATAAACTGTATAAACTGTATAAACTATATAAATATATATAACTATACAAATATATATAAACATATATAGGTATATAAATATATAAACATATATAACTATACAAATACATAAACTAAAAAATAAAGATATAAACAAGAAAACGCACGATAATCTCTAATTACCTTTAACTTTGGATCGTCGGTAGGCGTGATTCTAGCTTCAAAGTGCGCGCTCTCGCCCTCACGTAGGCCGTCGATGTTGCTCAAGGGCACGGTGAACACCGGAGCCTTTCCGCGCTCCTCGACAACCTTCTCGTCCTTGGTGCGAATCATCGAGTCCTCGAGTGTCTGTATCTTCTCCAAGCCGCCCTCCATGCCCTTCGGCAGCTGCGACTCCAAGATCAGACTAGCCTTCGAGTAGCACTTCAATGTTGCCTTGGTAGTATCCTCGCCGTACTTGTTGTAGGCCCTGCACTCGTAGACGCCGGAGTTCTCTTCGTAGCAGTACAATATATCCAGAATGACGATGCCGAAGTCGTGGAAGGTCCTGTAGCGATGTCCGTGCGGCAGTTTCTTGCCGTTGTAGTACCACTCGACCTTCAAGTCGGGATCGGTGACCGGTGTGAGCCTGGCCTCGAAGTGGGCGGACTGTCCCTCGACCAGCCTGGTGATGTCGACGATCTGCGTGATGAACTTCGGCGGCTCGGCGACCGGCGTGGTAGGCGTAGCCGGTTGCTCGCCGGCGAAGCTCTCGAGCTCGCGGATCCTGGCGAGGGAGTCCGGCTGGAGGGAGTCCAGATAGACGCCGCTCTTGCCGAAGCACTTGATCGTAGCCTTGGTGTAATCCTCGCCATACTTGTTGCTCGCCTTGCAGACGTACTCGCCGGTGTCGTGGGCCATTACGCCGGCGATGTCCATCACGACGAACCCGAAGTCCGACACCATCTTGAAGCGGGACGAGTGCCGCAGCGGCTGCCCGTTGTGGAACCACTCGACCTTCATGTGCGGGTCGCCGACCGGGATCAAAGTGCACTCGAAGTGGGCCGACTGGCCGTCCTTGAGGCCCTCCAGCGACTGGATCTGCGTGGTGAACTTCGGCTTCTGGCCCTTCGACTTGTCGACGCACTCCAGTTGCACGCTGATCTCGGCGCGGCCCCACTTGTTCGTCGCCCGGCAGGAATACGTGCCGGAGTCCTCGATCTTCGTGCCGAGCACCTCGAGGACCACCATGCCGAACGCGTAGACGGTCCTCGTCCGGTGACTGGCCTCCAGCGACTTCCCGTTGTAGAACCACTCGACGACCATGGTCTGGTCGCCGGTGGGCGTCAACGAGGCCTCGAAGTGTGCGATCTCGCCCTCGGACAGGTTCGTCAGGTTCTCGAACTGCGACGTGAAGACCGGCGGGTGACCCTCTTCGGCTTCCGGCGGGCCGCCCTCCTGCCGCTTCAGCGACTCTTCCAGGTCCTGGATCGCCTCCAGACCCTCCTTGCCCTTCGGGTGCTGCGACCTCTCGATGATGTTCTCCTTGGTCGAGCAATAGACCGTCGTCGACGTGAACGCCTCGCCGGCCTTGTTGTACGCCTTGCAGGTGTAGATGCCGGAGTCCCGGTCGTAGACGTCGGTCAGGTCGAGCGTGACGAACCCGAAGTCGCTGGTCATCTTGAAGCGGGCCCCGTGCTCCAACGCTTTCCCGTTGAAGTACCACTCGATCTTCAGGTTCGGGTCCTCCTTCGGCTCCACCTGGCCCTCCAGGTGCAGCGGCTCCGACTCGCCCAACTTGAACTCCGGCTGAAGCGGCACCGTCCAGATCGGCTTCGGGTATTCGTGCTCCGGTCCTTCTTCCGGTCTTCTGTACTTGGATAGATAAGCGTCCTCGGCTTCTTCGACCTTCTTTAAACCGGCCTCGCCCTGCGGGTGCTGGGTCTGCAGGTAGATGCTCTGCTTGCTGGTGCACTTCAAGGTGCCCGAGGTCTGCGCCGAGCCCTTCGAGTTGGTCGCCTTCACGATCACCACGCCGGAGTCCTCCTCGTACGCGTGGTTGATGTCGAGGGCCACGTAGCCGAAGTCGTAGGTGGACTTGAACCTGGCCCCGGTCGGCAGCGGCTTGCTGTTTATGAACCATTCGACCTTCATAGTTGGGTCCTTCGACGGCTCCACGTTGCACTCGAAGTGCGCGTTGTCGCCCTCGATGCATTCAACGTTGTTCAGATGAGTGATGAATACGGGTTCTTCGTAGATTGGCTCCGGCTGCTCCGCGCTGCCGGGGTGAGGCTGTTCGAGGGCGTCGATCTTCGGCAGGGCGTCCGGATGCAGGGTGTCGCCCAGCAGCCAGTGCCGGTCGACGATCTTCAAACTGCAGGTGGACACCGCCTCTCCGTGCAGGTTCGTCGCCTTGCAGGTGTAAATAGCCGAATCGTCGGGCCGCAGCCCGTTTATGGACAACGTCACCAAACCGAAGTCGAACGTGCTGCGCAGCCTGGTGCCGGTCTGCAGGGTTATCCCGTTCTTGAACCACTCGACCCGCAGATTCGGGTCGGCTCTAGGTTCCACTTGCGCCTCCAGGTAGACGTGCTGGCCCTCCACCAGCTTGTCGTGGCTCTCCAGGTGCTTCGTGAATACTGGCGCCTGCTGCGGCGTCGTGTCCACGAACATCTCCGGCACCTTGTTCATCTCCGCCTCCTTCAGCTGGATCTTCTGCCAAGCATCCGGCTGCAGGCTGTCCGCGTCGATCGCCGAACGTGCTTTCACCTTCAAGGATATCGAGGACACCGCCTCTCCGGCCTTGTTGATCGCCTTGCATGTGTACACGCCCGAATCCTCCGTGATCACCTTCAGGATGTCCAGGGTCACGTAACCGAAGTCGTGGCTCACGTGGAAACGGGAACCTGGTGGCCAGAATCATCGTTATAGATATGTCTCTCCAATTGACGCTCGGATTGTCCATAGAAATGGACAATTTGGGAAGAGGAGATACGATTATTCGAGGCTTGCGGCTCGTTTTTATAATTGTGGACAATTTATAACTATAAAAACAAACCGCAAGGCTCGAATAATCGTATCTCCTCTTCCCAAATTGTCCATTTTTGTGTACAGTAATGTCTCCCTTACAAATTTTAAACGCGCGAAGCTTGTTTTTTGATATTTTTCTAAATATGTGAAGCGTGCTTTTCAAAATTTATTTAAATATTAAAATATATTTGGTGTAACAATTTTAGTGGTGCGTCAAAGTCACCACCACTCGAGTGCAAAAGGTTAATACAGGTTTGTAATAAAGGTTTTATAATATTGTAATGATAGAATGTGTAACAATATCAACGTTAAGAGATCAAAGGCAACGACGATGCTTAACAATCTTAACTTGTCCGGCGAGAAACCATAACGAAACGTGTCACATCAAAAACACAACTCTCTCGTCTAGAATGCTTGAAGAAGAGTTATTTATTGTTAAAGTACAGTTTGCGTGGTAACATTTTCGTACAGGCGATCGGTTTGTTAACATGAGATTAGCTCGGGTGCGGCTGCTTCTGGATGTTAAATTCTATAAGCGAACTAGAAGCGACGGTTCTCGGTCTGAGCTCTTTTTATTTCCTCGCCCGGGCACGAACACTTACCCATCTTCAGCTCGATTCCGTTTATGTACCATTCGAATCTCAGGCTGGCGTCGCCGACGGGCACGACCCTGCACTCGTATCTTGCCATTTGACCCTCCCAGAGTTCCGTGGGGCCGGTCAACAGCTGCGTGAAGATCGGCTTGTCGAACACCTTCTCCGGCTCCTCGGCACGACCCGGCTTGTCCGCTTCGAGCTGAGCAATCTTGCGCTGCGCCTCCGGATGTTGACTGTCCAATTGGATACTGGCTTTGCCTGCGAGCAAACGATAGTTGTAATTAGTCGGCAGCCATTTCAACCCTTCCTGGACGACGATCTTTTCTCCGATTCCTGTTTTCTTTCTCCTCTTAGGGCTATTTTTTGTTTCAAGTAGCGAAGGTCATTGATGTTTTTTCTTTGATATCGCTGTTTTTACACGTCGAGGCGAATTCAACGATCTCTGACCTCTAAATGACCCTTGAAAAAGTAGGAGTCAATGTGAAAAAAATAGCGACGACCTTGAATACTTGAAATATAATATATATATTATTATTTATTATTTCATGTTGTTTTTATTTATGATTCAAGTATTATATATATAAAACAACACGAGTCATAAATATTCTTAGTTTAGAGCTAAACAAAATTGATCTGACACATTTCCTGATATTTGATGAAAAATAACAAAATTTATTTCAATGTGTTGGTTAAGATAGTAATGAAATAAATTAAAATAAAGTAAAATAAATAAGATAACTTTGACACGGCCTCTATAAAGAACAGAGATGTTAATAGCGTAGAAGTTTTTTCAGGGAACTATGTTACGTGTCAAACCCTTATGCGACGAGAAAGATGAGTTTGTTATTATAAAAGATAGAATTTGTTACTATAATTAATTTAATTATTATTTATTACGTATAATCAGAAATTATAATTATACGTTTGTAACTTCTGGAACAGGATACGCGGTTCCGATGTTATCGTGTTAGGTCGACGTTCGTCGTCGAAGGGGTTAATGAGTGAAACGTTGCGGGATAATGGTACTGACTCTTGATCCTCATCGACGCCGTTGTAACAGCTTCGCCGAGAGCGTTCGTAGCTCGGCACATGTAGACGCCTTCGTCGTCTTCGCGCACGTGCGATATGTCCAGGGACACGAATCCGAAATCGTGGACTTTGGTTATTCTCGAGCCTGGAACAGGAGAACAAGTTTAAATTGAGAATCCGCCGTTTCGAGTTATGTTTTCGTTCAAAGTCTCGCGTCGTGCTTTCGACTATATTGTCCATTAAAAATTATTTTTACTATCGTATTTTCACTTGTTCGTGCGTTACTTAAATTTCATAGAAAACAAAGATATAATATTAAATACTCTTTTTTATTAATTATATACCTCTTTTGTTAATTATATACCCCTGTTATTAATTAAATACCTTCTTTGTTAATTAGATGCCCCTTTTATTAATTAAATACCCCCTTTGTTACTTTGATACCCCTTTTATTAATAAAATAACCCTTTTATTCATTATATACCCCTTATATTAATTAATTACCCCTTTTGATAATGAAATACTCTCTTTTATAATTAAAATCGTTAACAGAGGAAATATATTTTTTATCTGACCTCTGTCTTTTTTTTTAATTCATGCAGACGATTTTTAATTTGCACAGAGATCTATAGTCTATTAATAATCGTCGGATATTGTTCAACACCCGTTACAATTATTTGTAATTATATTATTTTTATACAACGATTATCTCGATATTGACAACTAAATCTGTTCCTTCATCTATTCCAATCTATATCTATTCTCATTCTGTCTACGCACAGGGTGTCCCATAATTATGTTAACACCCGAAAGAAAATGATTCCTGAGATCATTCGAAGTAACTTTTTCCTCAGCGAAAATTCAATCCGCGGCTTCGTTTACAAGTTATCAACGAAAAACACTGGCCAATGAGAGGCGAGCTCGGCTGGCCCGCGACGACCGAACCAATGAGCGGTCGAGGTCCGGTTCCGCTGATTGGCTCGGCCGCCTAACGCCCGGCGCGCTCGCCTCTCATTGGTCAGTGCTTTATTGTTAATAACTCATTAACAAAGCCTCGGAGAAAATTTTCGTAAAGGAAAAAGTTGCTTCAAATGACCTCAGGAATCTCCCCTTTCCAGCTGTTAACATAATCATGGGATATCCTGTATACCTATTCACATTCCATCTACACAAATGAAAACTTTATTTATTGCTCCCAATAAATTGTCGATCCCTATAAAACCGTTTCATTTGCGTATCACGAGACTTCTTCAATAATTCCGTTCGGCAGATCTTGATGCACCGGCCTGTATTGTTCGTCCTTGAACTTACTTGTCTCGAGCGGCATCTCGTTTCTGAACCACTCGACCTTCATGGTCGGGTCTCCAACAGGAATCAGCCGGCACTCGAAGTGAGCAGTCTGCCCCTCGGGAATGGCGTCGATGTTCTGCAACGGCTGTGTGAAGACGGGTCGCTGTCTCGTCTGCGGTTCCGGCACTTCCGGACGTTTCCAAGGCTGCTGGGACTCCAACTCGCGAATCTTGTCCATGCCCTCGGGTCGTTGGGAATCCAGGATAATGTTGTCCCTGGGGATGACGCGGAGCTCGATCGACGAAACGCACTGGCCGAGGGCGTTGATGGCTCGTACCGAGTATTGGCCAGCATCTTCGGGAACCGCGTGGCCGATGTCCAACGCCACGTAGCCGAAGTCGAAGGTCACGTGGAACCTGGCAGCGGATGGCAGAGGCTTGCCGTTGTGGTAGAACTCGATTCGCAAGTTCGCGTCATGCAGGGGCTCCACTTGACACTCGAAGTGAGCTGTTTGACCTTCGTACACCTCCGTAGTACCCTGAAGAGTCGGGACAATTAGGATGATTGCTCTCTTGGAACAATGGAAATCGAGGAGAATTCTTAAGAAGTAGTTTATCAGTATTTTTTGATCGTGGAGAATCGATGTATATTTTGATGAAAATATTAGGTTCGGGAATAAGTTCGTAGCGTTTTTATAGTTTCTATTATTTTACAACGATTTTGTTGCTGTTCGACAAAGTGTATAATATTCATTCGATAGAGTTCTTTCTGCTCTACAAAACTGTGGTAATCGTCTTTTCGAGTAATTTAATTTTTTATTACTTTCGAGGCTTAGAAATGGAATATCCAGAAGGTAAAAAAACAACATTTTCGACACCTTCTCTTCTTCGCTTTTCATCGAGGCCAAAAAGCTGCCGAAACAGCCCGGGACATTTGCAACGTATACGGAGAAAGTGTCGTAGGCGAGTCTACAGCACGGAAATGGTTTGCAAAGTTCAAAAATGGCGATTTTGACGTCGACGACACGCCCCGCGGCGAAAGACCTTCTGAACTCGACGAAGAGCGCCTCGAAGCACTTTTGAAGGAGGACGGTCACCGAACAAGTCGTGAATCGGCCGAAAGAATGAACTGCGATCATAAAACGATTCTCAATCATCTTCGTTCAATGGAATCTGCCGAAAAATTGGGAGCCTGGGTGCCTCACGAAAACAACAAAGAATATCGTCTTCGAATTGCTTGATAAAAACGCTACGAACTTATTCCCCAACCAAATAGTTGACAGATGAAAATTAGTTAACCAACCGTGGTTCTGTTGTTCTATTTAACAGAGACCTCTTACCCTCAGTTCGGTGACAAATCTCGGCGGAGTGACGGGCGGTTCTTCAACCTCCAGCCTCGCCGGATGTCCATGAGCTTCGAGTTCACGGATCTTCTCTAGACCATCGGGATGTTGCGTGTCCAAAAGAATGCTTCGGCGAGCTAAATAAAAAGAAAATTGCGTTTTTAATTTTCAAACAATTTAACCATTTAAATATTGCAGTTTAGAGAAATCTGACTACGCGAACAACGAGATTGATAAATTACTGTTTCAGCGTAAACGGATCGTCTTCGTTCCAACGATCCATCGAACATCAATTTGTTTCGCAAATTTGGTATTTTTCAGGACAACAGGGTCTTTCACGCGTGCCTTGGAACGTAACTCGACGGCCGCTGCAATACGATTTTGCACTTTGACGCGTGTTTCGCAGCTCGGCCGTTTCACGGCGACAATTTTGATCGTCGAAGTTCGATTCCGATTTTCTTCTCGTTCCAAGTCGGTGCTCGGTTCTACGGTACATTTCGCGGTCCCAATCGAGGAACGGTTTGTATCGATTTCTTGGGCAAATTGGACGATCTTGCGTCACGCGAGGTTCCGCGAACAGTTTGCTACACGAGCACGTGGTCACCGATAAAGATCCGAATCTGGGTTTCATGCGCGACGAATTTCCATTTCGTGTCGGTGACGGGCAATCGAATCTTCTTCTGTCGTGACAGGACTCTGGTGTGTTCACGCTTTCGGACGACTGCAGGGGTTGGAAGCGAGGGGGAGGGTAGCGATTGCGTTTCGCTGGTGATCGAGATTAAATGAGAATTATTGTCGACCGTGATTGATAATTATAGAGGAGATAATTTTGAAGATATTCTTTCCTTGCCATTTCTGCACTTATTTTTAAAAAATTGTTATATAATGTAATAGGAAATATTTAAGTAATGTAAGTTGATTTTTGTCAGAAATCAATGTTCAATATTTGGATTTTATTTGGATAATGTCTGAGTCAATTTATTTTTGTTAAGATATCAATATTTAATATTTTAATCAATTGATATTTGTTAAGAAATGGATGTCTATTGTTTGAATCAATTTAGTCTTGTTAAGAAATCAATGTCTAATAATTGAATCAATTGATATTTGTCAAAAAATCAATGTCTAATATTAGAATCAATTTATTCTTGTTAAGAAATCAATGTCTAGTATTTAAATCAATTGACATTCGTATATCTGTATACTTCTACACGAATAACTGTGAGCTTAATGGGAATTTACTTACAGCCAACTTTGATGGTGCACGTATTGACAGCTTCGCCAGCAAGATTGGTAGCTTTGCACATGTAAGTGCCAGCATCTTCTGGGTAGGTGTACAAGATATCAAGTGCCACATAGCCGAAATCATGGGTTTTGCGGAAGCGATGGCCAGTTCTTACTGCGATGCCATTTACGAACCTGTTTCAGAACAATTCATTATTAAATTAATTACTACATATTACAGCGAAGCATATAACACATTGTTTACATTACAATATTGTTTCATTCGGTGCATGCCATAAATAAAAAACGCAATAAATAACAAGGAAGTAAAATAAAATATGAAATATGAGAATATAAAAGAATAAGGTGAAAATAAGATATTAAGAAATTATGATAAAATAATATGCATCTGTGCAACGTGTTTCATTACCATTCTATCTTTAAGTTTGGATCGTTGATCGGTTCGACGCGGCATTCCAAGTGCGCGTGCTCGCCTTCCTTTAGGTGATCCAGGTTGTTAAGCGGCGTCAGGAAGACCGGCTTCTGGTGCACGACCTCTTTCTCGACCTCCTGCTTCACCTCCACGGTCTCCAATTCGCGGATCTTCTGCAAACGCTGGGCGTCCAACGTGTCCAAATAGAGACCTTGTTTCGCTGTTCGAGAAAAAACGAATATCCTTCAGCTTCGATCCTTTTTGTTGGAGACATCGAAAAAAAACGATCTTTCATATATTATATAACTAGTCAACTTATGAATTTTGATGTTCCGAAAGGTTAGAGTTTGCGATCGGATATTGTCCACGTTCAATTACACTCTTCATAATTGAAATATGTGGTATAATAATATAGTAAATATGTAATACAGTACATTTTTAGTAAAAAATGGTCTTCTAATCGAAAGAGTTTATTTATAAATTCTCGAATATATTAGTAAGACTGATAACTATGTGTTTATATTGCTATAATATCTTATATTACATTATTATATTATATTGTATATATAATATAATATTATTATTACATTATATATTACATATAATATAATATAATATAATAATGCAATAATAAGTAATAATAAATAATAAAAAATAATATAGCTATAATATAGCTATAATATCTCTAAGCTTTCTCGACCCTGCTAGTACATAATTACAGTACATAATTTGTTTAGCTTCCCTTTAACAATTGATCTATTTGCGCTCTTTTTCCAGATTCAGCGTTTAGCAAATACAATTGGCCAATATTTATTTAAAATAATAAACAACGACGATGAAATGACCAATAAAAATAATACTCCATTTGCAAATAATAATAAATTTTCCATTCGATTAAACGAATCGTTTAAAGAATTCCACAAACAATGTATTCAAGTAGCAATTTAATCAATTTGCAATCCTAATTTTCTTGCATATTTTTTTTCCTTTTCTTCAACTAATTTAGGGTAGCTTTTGTTCCACGCGGTCCAGCGACGTTGGATCTTTGGTTTCTATCGACCCGTCAGTTTCATTACGATAATTATCGATTTTGCGACTCACAGTCGACGCTGATGACGCACGTAGTGACAGCTTCGCCGACAGCGTTTCTCGCCTTGCACATGTAGGTGCCGGAGTCCTCGGGATAAGCGTAGAGGATGTCGAGGGCGACGTAGCCGAAGTCGTAGGTGGTCTTGAACTTGTGACCCTGTGGGATCGGTCGGCCGTCCCGGTACCATTCGACAACCATCGTCGGATCGTTGACGGGCGTCAAGGTCGCCTCGAGGTGGGCGCTCTTCCCTTCCGGCAGGTGCTCGATGTTCTTCAACGGCCGGCCGAATTTCGGTTTCTCGGCGATGATCAGATCCTCCTGGTCCGTGCGCTTGTACCGGGAATCGTCCTCGAGGTACTGTATCTTCTTCAGGGCGCTCTCGTGCTGGGTGTCGCGAATGATCAAGGCACGGGCTGCAAAGTGTTGTCGATTAGAAAAACGAAAAACACCAGCATTTAGCATCTCGTCGATGGTAACGTACAGAGCGAGATCTCGTTGGACACAGAACTCTCTCTCTCTCTCTCTCTCTCTCTCACTCTCTCACTCACTCACTCTCTCGAATGATTTCCTATTCGACGCTCTAGTCGAAATAACAAGAAAAACAAACGTGCTGCATCGAGAAGCGAAGCACAGCGCGGCAAGAGAAAAGCGGACATCTTTGATCCGAAGCAGAGCTATTATAGAAGCGTGAAAATACAGAGACTCTCTCTATAGGTTGCGGAGAATGCGTGATGTCCCAATTGATTTACTTGGCGTGATTTACTTGGCGCGGGGAGCTGTGATCGTTCGGCGTATCATTCGCGCACTCAGTGAAATTATAGTGGAAATATGAATCTCAAATTTTAAAAGACGCGCGATGCTAAATGAAAATTAATTTAACTTACACTAATTCAATTCGATTCAATTTGATTCAATTCTACTTAATTCTGATCTATTCAATTTTATTCTATTCAATTTGGTACGATTCAGTTCTATTCAAATCAATTTGCTTCGATTCAATTCAATTCAATTCAATTCGATTCGGTTCAATTCTAGTCAATTCTATTCAATTTTATTAAATTCTATTCAATTCTATTCAATTCTATTAAATTCTATTCAATCTAAGCTAATCTAATTCATTTGTATATTATATTTAATTTATTTATTTATATATATCAAAGTTAATTTAATTTATGTATGTTCATATTATACATACATCTTTTCTCTTCCGTTTAATTCTCTATAATTTACGTTTATTCGTACTTGGTGTAGCCAAATAAATCTTATTATCAATCATATTTGTATATTTCTATTTTCTATAGTTTCTAAAACAAAAATATACAAATATATAAATCTATCTCATTAAGTTTTCGTTTAAATATCATTAAAAACGTAAAAGTTATTCCACCCTTACTCTCCTTTGCACGAATTTTTCTTTCCAGTTCGACTCCATCGTTCCTCATTATTTACATTAAATATTCGCTGTAGTCTAACCGAACCTTAAATATAAAAAAAAGAAAGAAAGAAAAAGAATGAAAAGAACCGGAAGGTGAAAGACACGCCCGCTTCAGCTCCCAACTGCCGTAAAGAATTCCGCAGGAATCCAGCCTGTTTCCGGTACTTACATTTCACGTTCAAATTGATCGAGCTCTGGGCCGATCCCAGTCTATTGGTGGCCTGGCAGGTGTACGTGCCGGAGTCCTCGGCGTACACGGTCAGAACGTCCAAAGCGGCGAACCCGAAGTCACAGGTGGTTCTGTACCTGTGACCGATCGAGAGTGGTTTCCCATTGTGGAACCACTCGACCTTCATGGTCGGGTCGGGGTAAGGTTCGATACGGCACTCATAGTGTGCGCTTTGACCTTCGACTAGGTTGGTGGGCCCGTTCAGTTGGACCGTGAACCGGGGTTTCTCTTTCACGACGATCTCCTCTTCCTCGCGGCGCTGGTACCTGCTGGTGTCCTCCAGGATCTGGATCTTCGACAGCGCGCTCTCGTGCTGCGACTCCAATTGCAGCGCCGCTTTCGCTGTTTAGCGGGAAACAGTATTTTCTTGTCAGTGTTTTGTGCCGTTGTATGGATTCGTGACGCGACGCGAGCCGTTTCGCTTTGTTTCTCATTTGCGGTAATTTTTGCGCGTACAGCGATACACAGAATGTGCCATAATTATGTTGAGACCCAAGGTCGTGATTCCTGAGGTCATTCGAAGCAACTTTTTCCTTTGCGAAAATGTTCTGCGAGGCTTCGTTTACGAGTTATTAACGGAAAAGCAGTGACCAATGAGAGGCGAGCGCGGCAGACGCCACGCGACAAGCACCACGCGGCCGGGCCAACGGGCGATCGAAGCCCGGTTCCGCTGATTAGCTCGGCCGCCTAGCGCTAGACGGGCTCGCCGCTCATTGGTCAACTGTTTTTCGTTAATAACTCGTTAACGATGCCTCGAAGAAAATTTTTGTAAAGGAAAAAATTGCTTCAAATAATCTCTGGGATCGCCTCCTTCCGGTTGTTAACATAATTATGGGACATTCTGTATTTTTAATAGACAGGGTGTATGTACGTATAACCTTCTCGTCACTTCGAAGAAAAAATTACGAGTAGTTTTAACGTAAACAACCCTTACACTATTAATAACAGCCCCCTATTAATTCTCTATAACAATTTCTTATTAATATAAATAATAACTTTTGTAACAGCGAATGACTCAGTAAGAATAGTTAGATATTATAACACAATGAGATATAAAAAGTGAGATATTACAAAGCAATAAGATACAGAAGGCGAGATATTATAATAAAAGTTACAATGGATATTATTGTTACCTCGAGAAATAATAATGGTTATTATTGTTACCTCGAACAATAGTAATGGATATTAACGTTACCTCGAGAAATGATAAAACAATCAAAAATAATTGAAAAATAACCGAGAAATCGATTTGAGAAGATTCGATGTAACGGCCCATGGTGGTAACGTGTGGATGAACGTGAGAAAATCTGTTTCGTGTTCGCAGTAAAAATCTGTGGAGTAGCTTGTATTCGTGAGGAGAAAAAGAAACGAAAGATTATGAACAAGCCATCAACAAAAAGTCCACAAAAATCCATCGAAAAAGTAAACAAGAAAGAAAAACAAAGTTCTACGAACACTCTAGGGCTACGGTGTTAACTACTATTTCTATGAACTGGATGCACTTTCTGTAGCTTACGAGACAACAACGGTGCTAGAAAAATTGAAGCTTCGTTCAATGCGGTGAGATATAACCGCATTTGTTATTTCTCATTTGTCCGTGTGTATTACTTACATTGAACGAAGAGGGTCGCCGACGTGACTGCTTCGCCGAGGTCGTTCACTGCACGGCAAGTATAAGTACCCGAGTCCTCGGGATTAACGTACTTCATGTTCAGAGCGACGTAGCCGAAATCGTGCATCGTGGTCACGCGATTGGCTGTGGAAAGATCGCCGTTAATTCCAAAGTGTTCCATAATTTTCTATCGACTATTTTATTAGATACTTGATCGAGACAGATTAGTCGCGGTAGAAATATATTTTATCCCAAAATTATTGCGCAAGCTGGAAATTAGAGATTCCCGAGGTCATTTCAAGCAACTTTTTCCTTTGCGGAAATGTTCTACAAGGCTTCGTTTACGAGTTATCAACGAATAAACGCTAACCAGTGAGAGGGGAGCACGGCTGACGCTCCGCCCTCGCGAACACTGCCGCTGCGTCAGACGGCCAGCGCGACGCGGCATTGGCCGCGAGGGCGTCGCCCCGGCCGCGCACGCCTCTTATTGGTTACTGTTTTTCGTTAATAACTCGCAAACGAAGCCGCGGATTGCATTTTTGCAAAGGAAAAAGTTGGTCCAAATGATTTCAGGAATCATTTGCCGTCCGTGCAATAATTCTGGGACATCCTGTATCTATTGGTTGCTATAAAAAACTTTGTTGCTATTTTCCAACTAAATTTGTTTACAGAGATCAGAATCAAATGGAAATTTATGTAGCGTGTGAAATGTGCTTCGATTCGGAATCTTTGTCAACTATGCTTTCTTCTTGCCAGTGATTCGAATACTATCGATCGTCCGAAACGTTGCGAACAGTACTCACAAGCTGAAATAGGAACGCCGTTTCTCAGCCATTCGACTTTCAATTTGGAGTCGCCGACAGGAATCACGCGAGCCTCGAAATGTGCCGCCTGATTTTCTGCGACTTTGAGATCTTTGATCGGCATCGTGAAGACCGGTGCTTGCGTAACGGTTTCCTCCGTCGTCGTTTTGCGCTGGTAACGCGAGGTGTCCTCCAAATAGCGAAGACGTTGCAGGGTCTCTTCGTTTTGTGTCTCCATGTAGATTGATTTTTTCGCTGTTCGAAAATAACGATTTTATTGTCACAGAGAAGAAAAAATATGAGAACGCGTTTACTTTTACCCTTACTTGTTACATTATTACTTCAATAAACATAAAATTATTTTAATAAATGTAAAGTTAGATTACTGAATGTCAAATTATTTGAATGAATATTAAATTAATTTAATGAATATAAAAGTATTCTAATGAAATAAATATTTGAACAAACGTATAATTATATTTAACCGAATATAAAATTATTTCACTGAATATAAAACTATTTTACCAAATATAAAATTATCTCAATGATGCAAATATTGTACAATTACCTCAACGAACATCAATCTTTCCATGAAATAAATATTTGAAAGAACGCAACGCTGTTTCAATGAAAAAAACATGAAATGCATCGCACAGAAAAATGTCGCGGAACTCACAGTGCACAACCGCAGTGGCCGAGGTAATAGCCTCCCCAATGATGTTCTTGGCCCGGCAAGTGTAGGTGCCGGAGTCTTCAGGATAGGCGTACATTATGTCAAGGGCCACGAATCCGAAGCTGTTGGTCTCGACGAATCTGGAGCCGGCTTTGACCGGCTTGTTGTTATGGAACCATTCGACTTTCATCGTCACATCGGACACGGGGATCAGCCTGCACTCGAAGTGCGCCCTCTGTCCCTCCTTGATCTCGACATTGTTCAAGGACGTGGTGAAGATCGGTGCCTGGGTGGTGGTCTCCTCGACGACCTCCTGGCGATGGTACTTGGTCCGATCCTCGAGATAGTGGATCCGCTCGAGACCGAGCTCGTTTTGAGTGTCCGTCAATATCTGGGCGGTCGATCGGCAGGACAGGGTGCACGACACCTCGTCGCTGCCGACGAGGTTCACGGCGCGGCAGGTGTAGGTGCCGGAGTCCTCGGCGATCAGGTCGATCACGTCCAGAGCGACGTAGCCGAAGTCGTGTATCGGACGGAATCGGTGTCCTGCGGATTACAATTGATCTTTCAGATTCGCGTTTTTTATTCTAACTTGCAGCGGATCTTCGCGCGAAATACAAATGTTAACCCTTTGCACTCGTAGCTATTTTAATTATATTTTAAACATATTTTCTGATCTACAATGTTTCCGTTTCATTTGATTTATTGCGATTCATGCATATGGAAGCTTATTGGCAAGTACAAAACTTGCAATTTTAACAGTCCTTTAGATATAAACGAGTCTGATACTGTTACAGTTATTTTGAAAAATAGTATAGCAATTTTTAGTGGCGCCTCAGAATCGCCACTCGAGTGGAAAGGGTTAATTGTAGTATGGAGGAATCGCATCGACGTTCGTTCGTTTTCTTAACATTTTAACGCGATTAATCCTTTGCACTCGAGCGGTGACCCCGGGCACCGCTGAAGATGTTGTATCACGTTCCAAGATCATTTTAATGTTATCGAAGTTTAAATTTAAAAAATTGTTAACAGCGTAACTATTAAGCGAGTCGCAAGGCTCAATTTCATACACGTAAAATGCACTTTGTCGTACGAAATGGAGATACTATAAGTCGGAACGATTATTTTAGATTTACAGTTGAAGTGGCTTCGAGGGCAAAGGGTTAACGAATTGTCCAAACGCTTTTGCTAATTTTCCTTTCGATCTACCTATTTTCATCGGAGCTGCATAAAATGTGCAATGTCCAATGATTAACCTCTTGACGTGCCATTTTTTTACAGATATTTTAGAAATTTTTCGACTGCAATAATTTCTCAGGAGAGAAACAAAATTTTTATTTATCGTGTGCCTAAATTTACTCGAATGCTTAAACATTGATGTCAACTGATTAGAATTTTATTCCAATTTTAAAGAACAGTTTTATATCTACCGGGTGTCCCAAAATTATTGCACAAGCGAGAAACCGTTCCAAGCGGGTTCCTGAGGTCATTTCAAGTAACTTTTTCCTTTACAAAAATGTTCTCTGAAGCATCGTTCACGAGTTATTAACAAATAACACTGACAAATGAAAGGCGAGCTCGGCTGGCGCCCCGCCCTCGCGGGGAATAACTCGTAAACGAAGCGCCGTAGAACATTTTCGCTAAGGAAAAGGTTGCTTCGAATGACCTCAGGAACAATTCTAGAACACTCCGTATACTCAATACGATATTACTAGAAATTTTCATCACGAATCAGACTCGTCAAAGTGCGGCAAGGGGTTAACGACGCGACAATAATCATACCCACCTATTGTAACCGGACGACCATTCTTATACCACTCGACCTTCAGGTTCGAGTCCGTCACTGGTTCCAATTTGCACTCGAAGTGGGCGTGTTCACCCTCGCGCAGGTTCTCCTGGTTCTTCGGCGCGGTGATGAATCTGGGCTTCACGGTGACAACCTCGTCGACGATCTCGTGTCTCTTGTACCTGGACGCGTCCTCCAGGTACTGTATCCTTTCCAAGCCCTCCGGATGGTGGGTCTCCAGAAGAAGATCCTTCTTGGCGTGCACGCGGACGGAGCAGGATGTGACCGCCTCGCCGAGCTGATTCCTGGCTTGGCAGGTGTAGACGCCCGAGTCGTCTGGGTACACGCCAAGGATGTCGAGCGCCACGTAGTCGAACTCATAAGATGGCCGGAATCTGTGGCCGGTCTTCACTGCTCTACCGTTCACGAACCATTCGACCTTCATCGTGGCGTCGCCGACGGGCTGAAGACGGCACTCAAGGTGCACATTGGTCAGCTCCACCGTTTCGATGTTGTGCAGGGGTCGGGTGAACTGCGGCGCCTGCATCACGGTCACCTCTTCCTGTTGAGTCCTGCGGTATCTGCGTCAAGGCAAAGCGTACATTGTAGACAAAATCAAGTGGCAACTTCGCGCCGTTTGAAAGTAAACATAATTTTCGTATTTGGGTCAAGCGGTATAAATCTTTCTGTTAGAGAGACTCGGCTGAGAAATTGATTGCAGAAATTAGAATCGCTCGGATGGCGAGAAGATATAAAAATGATGGCTTTTTTTGTTGAGGAGTATAACGAGAATTTAAACGATGCAACATTTTATATGCTTATATTTATATATGCAAAATTTTATACACTCATATTTATACAGGGTGTCTCGAAAATGTCTCACAATCCGGAAATAGGAGGTTCCCGAGGTTATTTGAAGCAACTTTTTCCTTTACAAAAATTTTCTCCGAGGCACCGTTAACGACTTATTAACGAAAAACAGTGACCAATCAGAGGCGAGCTCGGCTGACACTTCGCCCACGCCTAGTACTGCCGCTGCGTCAGACGGGCAGCGCGACGCAGCATTGGCCGCAAGGGCGGAGTGCCGGCCAATCTCGCCGCCCATTGGCCACTGTTTTTCGTCGATAACTCGTGAACGGAGCCTCGTAGAACATTTTCGCTAAGGAAAAAGTTGCTTCAAATAACCTCAGGAATCTTCCACTTTTAGTTAGCGAGACATTTTTTGGGACACGCTGTATTAATATCTCGGCTACTTAATTTTGCCATAAATGCATATAAACCGCCGTCTAATAGTTAACGATTCAATTGAATGATTCGATAATGATGACTAACTTCGACGAATCCTCCAGCATCTGAATTTGCTCCAAGGATTGCTCGTGTTGGGTCTCGGTGACGATGTCGGATCTTCCAATGACCCGGACGCAGGCCGACGTGTGAGCAGTGCCAAGATGATTGGTGGCTCTGACGGTGTATTCCCCAGAGTCGAGGACGGTCGAGTGCACGATGTCCAGAGCGACGAAACCGAAGTCGTAGTAAGTTCTGAATCTGGAGCCGACGGTGACCGGTCGGCCATTTTGGAACCATTCGACCCTCATCGTCGGGTCGCCCATCGGCTCCAACCGGCACTCCAGATGGATGTTCTTGCCCTCGCTGACCGGCTTCGGGTCGCTCAATGGCTGAACGAAGATCGGCTTCGATTTCGAGATCTCCTCGATGTGGTAGTGCGGCTCGACGAACTTCGATTCCTCGAGACGCTGCGTTTTCTCGTAGGACACCCGGTGCATGCTGCTCGTGTCCACGCCGGACCGTGCTGGAATTAATATTGGAACGTTAGTCGAACGTCGATTTTAGAAGTTCTATAATTACAGGCAGAATTATTTATGCTACTTATTAATATATGCTATTAATTATAGAACTACCGAACCAGTCAAAATGCCAAATGAACAAAATTTCCTTTCAGTTATTGAAATTATAGAAACGTTTCTAAATTTGTCGATCAACTTCTTGATCATTATAAGTCACTATTACATATCATTTTATAATAATGTATTATCAGTAGTCTAATGTATTACAATAAAAATCGTAGAAAATTTAAATAAATCCAATCTTGTCATTTATATCGAATAATACAGGGTATCCGAAAAATGTCTCACAATCCGAAAGTAGGGGATTCCTGAGGTGATTTGAAGCAACCTTTTCTTTAGCGAAAATGCAATCCGCGGATTCGTTTACGAGTTATTAACGAAAAACAGTGACGACCGAGCCAATGAGCGGAACTGGGCTCCGTGCATTCGTTGGCTGGGTCGCCGCGCGCCAGCCGAGCTCGCCTCTTATTGGTCAGTGTTTTTCGTTAATAACTCGTAAACGAAGCCTCGGAGAAAATTTTCGCAAAGGAAAAAGTTGCTTCAAATAACCTCAGGAACCTCCCATTTCCGGATTGCGAGGCATTTTCGGGACACCCTGTATAAATTATCCACGTTTAGGATTCGGTAGTTCTGGTGTCGATGAAAAATCTGTACAAGCAAATCTGCATAATAAAACAGAAAACTCACTTTCCACAACCATGGTGGCAGCCAATCGAGCCTCGCCGAGGGCGTTCCTGGCGACGACGGTGTAAGTCCCGGCGTCCTCGGATCTGACTTGAAGTATATCGATGGCGACGTATCCGAAATCGTGGTAGGTTTGAATTCTGTTCGCGGCAGTGATCGGTTTCCCGTTGTGGTACCATTCGATCTTCATGGTTAAGTCGCTCTGAGGTTCGACACGAGCCTCGAAGTGGGCACGTTGCCCCTCGACGATCTTGTTGGTGCCCTTCAGATTGCCCAGGAACCGGGGCGCCTGGGTCACCTGTGTCTCCTCCTGCACCTGTCGCGAGTATCTGCTCGAGTCCTCGAGGCTCTGTATTTTCTGAAGTCCGGTGGGGTGTTGGCTATCATAGATCACATCGTTCTTGCTGATCACGCTCAATTGAGCGGTGGTGTGCGCCTCGCCAACGCGGTTGTAGGCGCGGCACGTGTACACACCGACGTCGTAGATCGTTACGTATTTAATGGTGAGCGCCACGTAGCCGAAGTTGAAGAACGTCGTGATACGTGAGCCTGGGAAAAGGATGCGCGTCGTTAGAATCGGTACGGTCGATGTCTGAATTGCAACTAATATTACTAAGCGATAGTATTGTGTTTCAAATGTTGATAAAGTCATATTTTCCAATATTAAGCAACATTATTGGCTTTCAAATGTTTATAAAGTTACATTTGCTAATATTAAGTAATATCATTGGCTTTCAAATGTTTATAAAGTTAGATTTGCTAATATTAAGCAATATTATTGGCTTTCAAATGTTTATAAAGTTATATTTGCTAATATTAAGCAATATTATTGGCTTTCAAATGTTTATAAAGTTAGATTTGCTAATATTAAGCAATATTATTGGCCTTCAAATGTTTATAAAATTAGATTTATATTAAGCAATATTGTTGTGCTTCAAGTGTTCATAAAGTTATATTTACCAATATTAAGCAATATTATTATGCTTCAAATGTTCATAGACTTATATTTACCAATATTAAGCAATATTACTGTGCTTCAAGTGTTCATAAAGTTATATTTACCAATATTAAGCAATATTATTATGCTTCAAATGTTCATAGACTTATATTTACCAATATTAAGCAATATTACTGTGCCTCAAATGTTCATAAAGTTATATTTACCAATATTAAGCAATATTACTGGATTATTTCAAATATTCATAAAATTATATTGACTAATATTAAGCAATACTACTGGATTTCAAATATTGACATTAAGTCATGTTGACTACTATTAAGCAATATTATCGGGTTTCAAAAATATTGGTCCACTTTAAAATTCGTTTAAAGCAATCGTTATTCTCTTATGCGAAGCAGCTTTTTAGTTGAAGCGATGTGGAACGTATACTGACTAGCTTCTACAGGGCGTCCATCCTTGAGCCATTCGACTCTGAGATCGGGGTCGCCGACTGGCTCTAAACGTGCTTCGAAATGGGCGAATCCGCCCTCTCTGATGCTGTTCTGATCCTTGATAGGTGACTTGAAGTCCGGTGGGCTAGTCGGTTCAGGCTGCTCCTGTACGTACTTCTGGTGCATGGCCTGTTGATAGGCTTCCAACTCCTCGGCAGCTTCAATATATCGCTGTTGCTCGGGGATACCCAATTCGGAGGTAACGCTTGTGCGTGCTGTAAAATGTTGCTGTTAAAAAAGAAGGGGAGATCGCGGTAATACGATGAGAAATAACGCGAAGTCTCACCAAAGACACGGAGAGACGCGGAGCTGACAGCCTCTCCCAAGCGGTTCACAGCTCTCACGGTGTAAGAACCCGCATCTTCAGCTCGTAGGTGCATTATATTGAGCGAGACGTACCCGAAGTTGAAGATGGTTGTGATTCTTGAGCCTGGAAAACAACGGTTGCTCGATGAACATATGGACGAGTGCGATATTAAATGTGACAAAGATGGGAACAGGTTGCAAAACTGTCTCGGAATCATGCTGCTCTAATCATCTACGAAAGCGTTGCTTTTTCAAGAACTCGGTAAACTAGACTACTCTATATTTGAGTAACGTTTAGCACGTTCGCAAGAAATGTTCTAATTAACACATTATTATTTTAATATTATATATTATATATATTATTATTATATTATATTATATTATATTATATTATATTATATTATATTATATTATATTATATTATAATATAATATTAATATATTATAATACTATTATAATTATAATACAATAAATATTATATTATGTAATATTATTATATTATATTATCATATTCTAATTAGAAAATTAGCATGTTCGTATCAAGTATTCTAGTTCTACCTCACCGATTAACTATGGAAATGTGTGAGACTAAAGCAGGCTGATTCCAAATAATAAAGACCGGTAAAACAGCTTGAATCATACCTATCAAATACTTTCACATAAATCGTGAATTAAAATGTGACGCGAGTTGATGGTTAAACTTCAATATTCTACGAAGAGTGAATCGATGGTAGAGCTATTATTTCGAGACTCGTTGAATATTTAGTTTGAGTCAATAATTACTGAAACAGGGTGCTTTATAGCTTCAGAAATCACTGTCGATAGACTGTGGATTTTAAGCACTGATATATAAAGATAATAAACGAACCGAAAGAATTTAAAAGAAATAATATAAATGATTAAAAAATAAATTCAAACGATGGAATAATTAAACGAATTTAAGGATATCCGTGTAATAATTTGTAACTCACTGTAATCATTAAAAAAAGAGCAATTTCTACATCACTCATGTTCGCCATGACCGATTAATATGATAATTAATATAATAATATAATACATATTCTATTATTAATAATAATTACTAATATAATATTAATTATATTGTTATATTAAAAATATTATATTATTATTAATAATAATTAATATAATAATATTAATATAATTTTAATCTTGCGTAAGGATCCAGTTATCAATTCTAATCAGTCTAATTATCAATTATCGGTTATGCCCTTCGGTTTGGAAGCGACAAAATCGCGTTTAGTTCACGGAGACGATTACATTATTGGAAAGTTGATTTTTAAAAAGCCGACTCGATGATGCTTACTTGCTGTGATTGGCCTGCCATCCTTGTACCACTCCACTTTCATCGTGGGATCGCTAACAGGGGTCAGCTGCGCCTCAAAATGGGCGTTCCGACCTTCCTGCAGCTCTCCTAGATCCTGGAGCGGTCGGATGAAGGCCGGCCGCTGTGGAGAGATCTCCTCCACACTCTCCTGCCTTTGATATTTCGAGTAATCCTCGAGCTGTTGGATATATTGAAGGCTATCGGGGTGTTGGCTTGCCTGTTCGATTGTCGCGCGTGCTGAAATCAATTGGTTCGTGTAAGAAAAAAAAGGGGCTCGCCGGTGTCTTCGCATTGGTATTGATCAACGATGTCGTACCTGTGACGCTGAGGGTAGCTCGAGATTCAGCGACTCCGGTCGAACTCACCACGCGGCACACGTATTCACCGCTGTCTTGGATCACGATGCTGATGAGGTCGAGAGAAATGAAGCCAAATCGGAAAATGGAAGTCGCTCGGGAACCTGGGGATCATGAGCTTACGTTAGATTCAACTCGCAAATATTAATTGTTAGAGATAAAAGTCAATCTATTTCTGATGTTGAACGATGAATTCTTTCTCATTTTGAGACATTAATTCTTTCAGATTTTAGGACATTCATTCTTTCACACTTTAGGAAATGAATTCCTTTTTATTTTAGGAAATTAATCATTTTTTAATTTTAAGAAATTGCCTGATTCTTTCTGATTTTAAAAATGGAATTCTTTCTGAATTTAGGAAATGTATTATTTTCTATTTTAGGAAATTCATTCTTTCACATTTTAGGAAATTAATTCCTTTTTATTTTAGGAAATTAATCCTTTTTGATTTTAAGAAATTACCTGATTCTTTCTGATTTAAAAAATAAAATTCTTTCTGAATTTAGAAAATGAATTATTTTTTATTTCAGGGAATTAATTCATTCTGATTTTAGGAAATTCATTCTTTCACATTCTAGAAAAGGAATTCTTTTGTATTTTAGAAAATTTATCCTTTTTGATTGTAAGGAAATGCCTGATTCTTTTCGGTTTTAAGAAATTGCCTAATTCTTTCTGATTTTAAAAATGAAATTCTTCCTGAATTTAGAAAATTAATTCTTTTTTATTTTAGAAATTGCCTCATTCTTTCTGATGATTAGAAAATGGATTCCCTTTTGTATTAAGAAATTAAAAAAAATTCTTCTTTATTTTAGAAAATAAATTCTTTCTGAATTCAGAAAGTGAATTCTTTTCAATTACAAGAAATTAATTGTTTCTGAATTTAGAACATGGATTAGAATATGAAAATATAGCGAACTTACTAGCATCGAGAGCTCTTCCATTGACATACCACTCTACCCTCATGGTGGGATCGCCCACCGGTTCGATTCTGGCCTCGAAGTGAATTCGTCCACCCTCGATCTGATGGACGTCCTTCAGTGGTATAATAAAACGTGGCGGTGGATAAACTCTGTCCTCCTCGGGCGGAGGCAAATACGGCTTGGCGCGTTCCACGTGTCGCAAATAAATCACTTCGGGGCCAGGCGCAGGTCTGCAAACATATTCCTATCATTATCACTGTCCTAATCGATCAATTCTGGATCGACGACGTGTCTACTTCGAGAGCCGTACCATCGAGCTTCCAGTTTGCATGAAAGAAAAATTCTCTCATTAATATATCGTTTCGAGTCAATCATTTTCATGTGCATATTCATTTCATTATACTACGCTATACTATACTATGCAGAGTGTCCCAAAAATGTCTCGCAATCCGGAAATGGTGGGATCCTTGGATCATTTAAAGCAACTTCTTCCTTTACAAAAATTTTCTCCGAGGCACCGTTAACGAGTTATTAACGAAAAACAGTATCTAATAAGAATACACTCCTTACACGGACACGGAGTTAAGACTGGGTCTTCCGTACCCAGCCTAATGAACGATGAGAGAAGGCGGCGATTTACCCACGTTCGGACCCCTCGTAGGTGTTCCGTCGGGGGGTAGGTAACCATCGTTGTGTATGCCCTGACGGGCGAGGAAACATATCCGCGTCACCTTCGTGGTGGCCGGATTCACAATAAATGTCTAATAAGAATCGAGTACGGCTGACGCGAGGCGGCCCAGCCAACCAGCGCACGAAGCCCAGTTCCGCTCATTGGCTCGGTCGCCTCGCGCCAGCCGACCTCGCCTCTCATTGGTCACTGTTTTTCGTTAATAACTCATTAACGGTGCCTCGGAGAAAATTTTTGTAAAGGAAAAAGTTGCTTCAAATGACCCGAGGAACCCGCCACTTTCGGATTGCGAGACATATTTGGGACACCCTGTGCATCATCGACTCGATCGTTTCGCGGCAGAGTTGGGCAACAGCTGAAAAAATGAATTACTCTGGTTCGATGACTTTCGTCGGTCGGGGTAAATTCAGGCGTCTTGGTTCGGGGATTGCTCCTTTCGGTGTCTCCACGAAAAGCCGAGCTCGGGTGGCTGTGGAGCCGGCTACGTTCTGCGCTGTGCATTGGTACCAAGCTGCATCCGACAATTTCGCGCAGGATATGTCCAAAGTCGAAGCTCCGCTTCCGTCTGTCGATATACGCACGTCGAGACCAGGCGTTACCGGCACACCGTCCTGAAAACCGAACGATTCTCCTTAAAGTCTGCATTAAATCGTCGGAACTCGAATTACGAAAAATTCGCCATTTTGCGTGGAACAATTTAACGCGTTGAAGAAAAGCTCAGACTTATTTCAGGAAATAATTTTCACGATCCAGCATGGTTGCCTTAAAAAATCGAAGAAGATGACATCGAAGATCGCGTTTGTTTAAACTTGCCCTTAAAAATTCGCAATTTCTTGTTCAACAATTTAGTATACTGAGTAAAAAATCCAGACTTATTTCAGGAAATAATTGTCACGATCCGGTACGGTTGCTTTCAAAAATCGAAAAAGGAAAAGATATTACATACCGCATGTAAAAATCGAAAGTCGTTGTAAAGACAAAGTTTATTTTCGCGACAGAATTTTCACAGCGCGCAGCCGCGTTCCGAAATTAGCGAACGATGATATTCGAACGGCAACCGATCGATCGGTTTGCAATATTAGTTTCTAGGTATAGGGTATCACCTTCTGCCAGGTGATACGCGGCACAGGTGTGCCAACCGCGCGCGCCATGAACACGACCGGTTCGCCTTCCTTGACATTCGTTGTTGTGAATCGTTCGACGAACTTCGGCGCGACCACTTGCTCCTTCTCGATAACGTTCAGGTTGCATTCGAAGGAGGTCTCGCCGGCTTTGTTTCTCGCTACGCAGGTGACAACGCCGGCGTCCGACCGGCTCACGTTCGTGATCATCAATGAATTGTTGCCGGACTCGTTCACCAGGATCTTGTGGGTGAAGTCGTTGGCCACTTGTTGCCCGTTTATGTACCATGTCACTTCCGGGTAAGGGCGGCCGGTCACGCGGCAATCAAACCTGCGAAACAATCGTTGTTTAGCATTGGGGCAATAATCGTAATAGTTTTGTGTCCTCGATAAGATACAGGGTGTCCCAAAAATGTCTCGCAATCCGAAAGTGGCGGGTTCCTCGGGTCTTTTGAAGCAACTTCTTCCTTTATAAAAATTTTCTCCGAGGCACCGTTAACGAGTTATTAACGAAAAACAGTGACCAATGAGAGACGAGCTTGGCTGGCGCGAGGCGACCGAGCCAATGAGCGGAACTGGGCTTCGTGCGCTGGTTGGCTGGGCCGCCTCGCGTCAGCCGTACTCGATTCTTATTGGTCACTGGTTTTCGTTAATAACTCGTTAACGGTGCCTCGGAGAAAATTTTTGTAAAGGA